GCTGCATGCTAAAATAGGATAGGACAGGGACCTTGAAAGTTGTGTCTGTTAAAGGCTTAGTTTAGTGAAGTACTGTATATATTAACATACATGTACATCAATGCCACTAATTCTTTCATAAAGTTCAGTCACAACAGTCTTGTCTTGTTATTCTTAATTTGGCAATGCATAAACATCTATACACTCGGGATCTGTCATGAGGCTTGCAAAAATAAAATAGATAAAAAAAGTTGTATCATAAATTGAATCTGAAGGAAAACGAATGACATATTCTTTTGATCATGTGACATAACCATTGTTTTTTTTCAACATAGTTTCTTTTCTGTCTGCTGTCACAAGCTGATCGTCAACATTTTGCAACTGAACAAATAATTTTCATTAAAATCACATTTACTGCTGATTCTTTTAAAATCAAGTCTGTAACAGGAAACTATTGATGATATTTCTTGTCACATAAATGTGGATACATTCTGTTTGATCTTGTGGATAGCATCAATGAAAACACTGACAAATGCAATGATTTTATATTGAAATATTCTAACCCTATGAACAAATAAAAAACCAAGCTTTTTATGATTGCTTACAGTGGATTGATCAATGTTGTATGACCTATCACGGAAGAACTGTATTGTGCTTCATGAATTACTTCATACTATATTTCATAAATTCTCTGACACACAACATTACATATATGTAAAGACAGAAACATGTCTAGACTCCAAACAAAATTTAGTGTGTGTTGACTGTACCCTATAGTGATGGTGTAGGGTTTAACAAAAATACCTTCATGTTTCAATAGCAGATAATGTCATTCAGGTGTTTTACAATATGTGGGTTAGTCCCATTATTGACGTAGCCACGGTTCAGTGGCCGTTGTGTATAACCACATTACAAACACCAAACCCCCACGGAATACTTCTTGGTAAGTGATCTAGCAAGTTGTATGGACTCGAGACTTTAAAAAGTCCACGGTATAGCTGCTATGCAGGTACACTATAATACAGGTATAATGTTAAGCTTTTATACTTGTATTTGTAAGGAGTTCATATGCATTTCCAATATATTTCCAATATACATGTATATGTATTCACAATTTTGTTGCACATTACAATATTACATGTATTAATTCTGTTTACACACACTAGATAGGGTGGGAACAAGTTTGAGATTCTCTTTATCATTTGATTTACCCGACTTACAATTGCTATGTACAATTGCATTTTTGTCCCGAAATCACTTTCAGTAGAGTCAGGAGATTATAAAATATGGAATTGTTGTGTGTATGTTTTCATGGTACATTGAAAATAGTCATATCATATTTAATCAAGATGATTGGTGACCAAAAGTTACTTTTGTGCTTCATCTATTCTGGGGTAAAAAATGAACTAGAAAATATGCATGGACTTTGGAGATTTTGGGTTACATGCTACATTTTCGTGTATTGTATATCAAAGATTTTGTCATGTACTAAACAATTCTGTTTGATTTAACCTATTGAAACCATGCCAGAAAAACATGATGTTGAAAATGCTTTCACAGTACTCCTTTATAACATATGTATACTAAGTCATGTCTGATGTTATCTGAGCCCCTATACACACTGGCATGGGGAGGCCCCGAAGGGGCGACCTTAACCAAGGTGAAACAGATTTAATCACAGAATAATGGCTGTGTTGACTTTATAGTGTCATTGGTTATTTTTCATGTAGTGTGCTGGTATGCATAAATTGATAAAAATTGTTAACTTGCCGATTATATGCATGTAACATGTCCAATTCCTGGGCGTCGTCTTCTGCTGTGGTATTGCTATAGTAGTGTGCACTAATATAATTGAAATGTCATTTCTGAATGGTAATTTTTTGTTTTCTTTTGTTAAAATTTAGTAAATAACAAGTTATTTTGTGAAAAGATAACACTTTTGTTGGTTTTCATTACTATTGAAAATCATAAATGTTTACATTTTGAAAGGAAGTGTGAAAGAATTTTTGTAAAATTATGCCATGTTAAAACTGACATACATTTAAAGTCTCTTCAATTTTTTCAGTCAGTCTATATTTTCGGTTCATTTTATTTAACAATATTTAGTTTACCTTTTAATTACAGTCATTGTAGTTGTTTGCATGGAGTCCTTTCAAATTATTTAAGAATAGTCTGAACATGCACCGTGTTTGCTGATAATGCCAGTATGAGTCATTTCCTATGTGACATGTGTTTGGCTGTGTAAGTTTTACCGCGGGACCACGTATGTTACGTGTAGAATTTGCGAGTCAAGAACAAACTTTTGCACTTATAATAATGGTAATGGAATTCCATATTGATACTTCGTTTACACTTGCCGGGGCTCAACACCTATTTGTGTATCGACCATTTGCGTTTCTCAATTTGGTGGACAGCAAGAGCCTACAGCCAGTAAGATCTGGAAGGAAACTGGTACATTTAGGTGACTAAAAACACAAAATACAGAAGAATGATGTCTCGAGATACCAGTACATTAATGAATGTTTCTATTTCTGGTAGTTCTAGGAATCTAAGGCTGGTTTAGATACAGGAGAAGAAGAGCTTTGTTTGATGATGTTGTAACACTTTGCTGTCATCACAGCTGATTGTAAAAGCAAACAGGGGAGAGGTTGTTGAATCTCCTGATGTTGTGGTCGGTGGTAAACTGAATTTGGGTTGATGTGGGCCTGGGTCCTGAAGGGGATACATGTAATCCATGGTCGATTGAAGACTCTATGTATCTATAATACCACAATACTACCCTGTTATGTTATCAGTGTCCGAACATCCATACCTACATGCTAATGTTATGAACGCGTAACATTTAATGACACCTAGCAGATCAAGCTTTGATTGGTTCAGGCTGTAGGTCCAATTGTTTCAACTGTGACGAAACAATTTGGGCTACTATTAGGCATCACAGACTTCTAATGTGACGTTTTAAAAAAAAAGACTTTCTAGGGTGAAAAACGGTTTCTTGCATTTGTTTCCATTTCATATAAGATAAATACAACATCACAATTTGTAATTGTAGCTTGTCAAATGCTCGCAAAGTAAAAAAATATCTAAAGCTTGTTTCTTCAATCTCGTACAAAATGAAAACAAATAAATCATCTACATATATGCTTAAGATACACCTGTGTAAGGTAAGGATTTTATTATAAGTGTTTTGAAATCCTCAGTTTCCCCGAGCTCTGTGTAAGATTTTTTCAAATGGTTAATTTACATGGATAGGCTCCTTTGAACTTAATGATTCTTTTAAGTGAAAAGTGTTTTGTTTTACAATAGGAAGGTGGGAGATATATATATTGTAGGTTGCCAAAGTCTTATACTTCCCCAGTTGAAGTTAATGATGTTAACCTGTGTGTGCATCATAAACATATCAGATGATCAATGTGTAAGGGTAATATGGTAGGCCAGAATGATTTATGATTCCCTTTGCTTTTAAGACTAAGCTTGTACATTATGTACTTCCTCCTCCTGACTGTGTTTGGTATTCTGATATGAAACTCTTCTTCTTCTTCAAACCATTTAAATCATTTTAATCTAGGCTGATTAAATTCTGAATGCATTAGTCCAATCTTACAGCATGCCCATGGGATATATGTACTTATTATGAGCTAAGGAAGGGCATATCAGTCAAGGGGAATCGTTCAAGGTCATGGACATGTAGATGACCTGTACTAACAGCTGATTTTATACAGAAAAGCAATGTTTTATTATTCATTATTCCTGTATTATGTCCTTTACGCATGGTTTAAGTACTGTCCTTTGTGAAGGCTTCATTGTAAAGGCAGTGGTCGTTTGTGTGCATAGTGTACATTTCTTAATCTTCACACAAACATTTCAGATGGTGACTACACACTGAAGTTAAATTTGTAAATTTCTTAGTCTTCACAACTCTTCACACAAACATTTCAGATGGTGATCATGACTACACTGAAGTTAAATTTGCAGTATTCTTGAAGTTTCTCAATACAGGTTCATCAGTCAAAGGTATCAGAATTTGAATACAGCATTAGTGCTGGGCATTCCAAAGAGGGGTGTATCTCTTAGATTAAAAGGAGCTACTGCAGTTTGAATGGGATCTTGTAGAATCAGTGTGGTAAATTTCTACACTTTTAAAAGATAACATGCTAACAACTCAACCTTTGGCTTGATGATCAATCCATAAAATAATGTGATGTTTACCATCAATATTTTTTGCTGTTAGGTGATGTAAAATTTATCGAGGGAAGGCGCTTGCATACACTAGTACTGTATTGATCCCTAAAAGTAATGATTATTGTCATAGTGTTACGTCTGAAACCCATTATAAAGTATATTTAGGTTATATTTATAACACATGGTTTGTGACTTATCTCAAACATGCATGAACTTTATAATGAACTCTGTACTGGTAATTCAAGAGTTCATGCAGTATATGTAAATGTGTGCTTTAGAGGTATAGATATATCCAGGAAACAGGACTGAAGGCCTTGTGTATAACTATACATGTAGCTATTATCAAAATGAAATATGACTATCTGATAGACAAGGCTTTGGGAACATGCACGATATTAATGGATGGTATTTATATATACCGGTACACTTAATAATATGGTATCTTGTTGACATTTTTTTGTCAGAAATTCCAATCCAGAATCAATAGTTGGCAAGCGTGTGAATTATTGAGAAGCATCCTATACAACATGTATTGATGATGAAAACACCAGTCCCCATACACAAAGCCAGTCGTGTATGACTCATTAGCAAGCTTCTTCCAGCCAGGTATCCTGTGTGGTGATGTTAGTCCCCCAGACCTGAACAATGGACTGGCCTGTCTATTGATTTTATAAACACTCCTGGGGTTTGTAGGGGTGAAGGATTGTAGGGACTACTCATAGGATATAGACATTATATCGATACGCTTGGTAAACTTGCAGGTTTTTTTTTATCGCCCAAAATATTTCAATAAAAAGTACATTATAATACATGTGAAATTTAAAACTGGTTATGAAATCTTAACTAGTGGGAGTTGCTTGAAGTGTGGTGGAGGTTTAGCTGTACACAAAACACCTTTCTTTTAAGCACCATCACAGTCAGGGATACACACAATCCCATGTTGTGCTAACATCAAACGAGCTTAGAAGTGTACGTGTTTGTGTACTTGCAGTACTAGCGATAGTGAACCAGGAATGGAGGGATGCAACGTTCCTTTAACTTAATTCACAGGTAATGCTGGTATCTAAGAATGAGTTTTACAAGATATTTTTTTATTGCAGTAACTTTTTTTTTCATATTATTCAAAACATTTTTGAGAGCATTTATTTCAGCACATTTACTTCACACGGTATCAGAAAATGTTAATTGCTACATGCTAATGTCACCAATATAATGATATTAATATTCTAAGAGTTATTGTTGTAGAGTGAGTTAATATAATCTGAACCTATACTCAATTTCAGTAAGCTAATATGTTTGAATGTTATTTTGTTGCTTGGTTCTTATGATTCTGTTGCCTATAAATACATACAAAATATATTTGGTACCATGGTGAGGATGCAATGTCTGGTGAATTTAATTAAAATGTGAAACCAGAAAATCTACTTATAATGTGGAATTTCTGTGGACATTTGTTTAAGATTGTAAGGCCTATTTGTACTTGGGCGGTATTTTACCAACTACTGTTAGACGCATTTAGTTGTACAGTTTAATTCAGACTGAACCACTTGTTATGGTAAATAGTCTTTCAGATATCTTGGTTGCCCATCACTATAATTTAGAGGTGAATTTAAAGGCCATGAATTTGCAAACTGAAAAATGTACTGATACAATGTACTCGTTAGTGACATGTCTGTGACAACTGTTAGTTGTGGTTAAGTACATGTACTGTCACTAATGGCACACAGCAGTATGAGCTTACACAAAAATCTATATCATGTTATTTTTGTAGTGCAATAATGATATACAGGGCTTGAATAGAAAACCGGTTTCTTTCAGTTTATGTAACATTTAATATTACTCACTTCCATATCATAACATGTTTGTTTTTATTTCAGTGTTTTCCTGAGGGTTTTACATAGAAAGGTGGGCGTTGGTAGGGTTAAAGTTAGCAGCTTTTGAAAAGAAATAGGTTTTGTAGAACACCCATCACTGGGAAAACACTGATTGTCATTGACAAACAAAGTGTTTCTGATGTGGAAATTAAAAATAAAACTTAACTGAGAATTTTTATGAAACAGCTTAATGGTTCCAATAAAACTTCATGCTGGCTTCCACATTTATGTATCGTGTATAGGACATCAATATTAATTTCAGTCTAGTAGATCTATAGTCTAATGCTCAGTAAGGTTTCTGTTGAACATTGTTGGTTTATTGTTTGACAAGGTTTCTGTTGAACATTGTTGGTTTATTGTTTGACAAGGTTTCTGGTGAACATTGTTGGTTTATTGTTTGACAAGGTTTCTGTTGAACATTTATTGTTTACCATTCATTATCATTACTGATGAGCAGTGGTCATTTATGGTTCAGTAACAGTCAGTTGAATGATAGTTAATGGTTCATTTACATGGTTTGTTGCACATTAATTAGTTCAGTAAAGTTACAGTTGAATGGTGATGGTTTTGACTCTTTAGGCTGATATACATGTAGCTGGGAGTATAACTTGAAGGATATTAATTATTTTCTGGGTTTAATTAGACCAACAGGATCCGTTTATAGTTAAATATAAATCATCTGATGTAGCTTTGTGTTAATGTTTAGCAGGGTGTTTAGTGTGTAAGGAACTCGACATGTACAGGTGCTAATAGGCTTACTCAAGTTCATGGCTTATCCCCCTTTCATAGAAAATAGACTCTCCCTGTGTATAAGATAAGAATGGCGGGAGATTTTACATCCATTATTTAGGGTTGAACATATATATATATATATGGCAGCAGGCAGGTGTTATGGTAGATATATATTTATGTATATTTTGTACTGCTTGACTTGGCACATATTTTTGTACAGCTACTTGATAACATATACGCATACAAGTTCATGCTTCCATGACTATATAGTTTATATAGAGTATCCAGCTCCTTTCCTGCAGTTGTTGAATACAACCAGTTTGTTTTATTGGATTTGGGTGTGACCTTGCATGTAGCAAGCTTACGTTTGATAAATCCTGTAAGATTGTCGTGATTTCCTTTTCCATTAGTCGGTGGAAAAATCTGTATTACACGACTATTTCAAAATGTTGTAAACACTTTATATTTCTATCTGTAAATCATTGAAAATCAATAAATTGTACCCATGTGTTATGTATTAAGAAAAAAATATTAGGATGGTAAGTTTAAGTGCTTGTTGAACCAGTTTCAAAATATGCGATATTTAAACTGAATGTGTAAAACATTTTTATTTCTGTATGAAACATGTTATCTTTAAAATGAAAATAATAATAAAAATAAATATGCAATATATGTAATGCCCTAATGTAATTTTACATATATTGTATTAAACATTCTAGATTTAATACATAAGCATAAATGAATATTTTATATTAATATATATCTACACTAGAATTCGCATGCAGTACACATTGTTGCTCTTTGACAAAACAGAGGGAGACAGGATCTGCAAGACTGCTTATGAAACAGATATTAGCGTCAGGCATCAGGATGACACATAACAACAACTAGCTAGCTAGATTCAGGATAAACTACCATCATGTTTGCACAACCCAGATAGGAGCTTCCTGCTTATCTAAGTATTCCTATATATGTCTTTAAGTATGCTTTTTGTGCAAGTTATTAAAAATTAGTATAAAATAAAGGATAAAGTATAGGGGGCAATTTAGAGCTTCAAATCACATCTTGATAGTCAATGTTTAAATTCAAACAGGACTATGACCATGGGATTTCTTTGAGTGGATACATAATAAAGAGTTAGTACACTTAACCTGTACATAAAATAATTATTTGGGCACTCTTATCTTTTAAAGGTGTGTTGAAGGAATGGAAAGAATTAACTTTATTCTAGAACTGTTAAATGTTTGCTTTCTTTCCAATGGTGAAATATTGCCAAAATCTATGGGAAACCATCTTTAAGGGCTTAAATGTCTCCCGCAATTTTATCTTATTGATGTAAGCAGACCTTTCCTTATTTTAACTAACATAATTGTAATGGTGTTCCTGGTAAACATTATGTTGACAGTTAAATCAATATATCAGTCAATATTCATCCTTTTATATTCTTGAATTAAAAATGATGATGTCACAGTTTATTTATTCTTTAATTTTCCTCAATAATACATTTGATAACAATGAATATCTTTGAAAGAACTTAAAAAACCATTGGTGGATATATGGACTTAAAAGTAATGTACTTCTATATAGCTACTACCAGTAAGTAACTAAACAGAAGAGGATGTGTCCTTATCTGTAGTTTACACACTTGATATGCACCCAGGTTGAACGTCTCCTCTGATCCTTGACTGGGTGGGTCCCTGTACAACAGGCACGTGTGTCCATACAGGTCTAGTCGGTGGTAACAACGTCATTTAACACACTCCCTGTATACAAAACATGGATATGTTGTAATGTTGATGACCACCTGATGTTATTACATTACATATTTGGTGTTATGGTTTATGATTTAAATATTCTATGATAGATGTGAGTATCTGTCAAACACATTCATAATAAACGCCTAGTAATATATGTTTCTCCTGTAAAAAGCAATGAAATGGATGGGTAATTTGGTAAAGTTCTCAGGGTTTTGATTATATTTTAATAACATCACATAGATTTAATATATAAAGCAGAGTTTCCTGCATTTAACAGTAATTTGCCTAAAAACTTGTAGACTAATTACTAAAAAGTGGTTAGCCTATGGTAGGATTACCATTTTATGCCTTAGGACATCCTGTATTGCATATAGCAACAACTGGCTAAGGACTCATCTTCTGATATATATCTGATATGGTACTTACTATATTGAGTGTGATATAAAAAGGAATTTTGATCAAGCAAAAATGTTGTTGTAAGGGAGGTAACTGGAAATTAAGTCACTTAATTGAGATTTTAATATTTGTCCTCAATGCAGCTTGAAGGGAGTTTTTGTGATTAAGAGAACAAAGGAAATGGACAGATTCCTTTGTTTTATATGATTTAGTGGCATTTTTGCTGACACATCTTTCGAGGACTGTGCTGGTAAATATAACCATACCGTATATATTGAAGTCCGGCCTGTTAAGTCACATATGCCTGTTTAGTCATACACATTTGTGATCCACATATACTACTTCTTTGTATAGTGGCAGTATTATTTCTTAATAATACAGCAAGCTGGCTTAGTGTTTAGTAGTTGGTGCATATATATTTGAAGTATAATTTGTGGCTATATAAAACTGATAAATATATTTAGACAGTAAAGTATTTAAATCTGTTTCAATTCATTTTATCTTTCAGAAAATATGCCTCATATTTCACTGAAAACAGTGAAGATATGATCCTCAAATATATGCTTGTGTCTAATGAGGATTTAGTTCTTTGTTTGAAAAACTGCCAGATTTTTTTTATTGAAGACATATGTTCATAGGTTGAACTTTTATATAAATTTGGAGTTAATTGAGGAGCTACATTTTAAACTATACATGTTTGTGGCACAAATGTGGGAAAGTATTTAACATGGTTGTATTAGCACTAGCCCTAATAGGAACAGCTGTGACCCATACTATCAGCACCATCTGTAGTGAGAGGATGCTGGCTAGGAGCCCCACACTCTGGCAAAACCTAGCAAGCTTCAATCATATCTCTTTTGTGAGAAATATGACTTATGATCTGAATCTATAATGTGTATGAAAACATGTGTTTGAAATCTTGACTGTGTGCTTGATATGGTAGTTTTGAATATATTTCATAATTGACAATGGTTATAAATAACATTTAAATTTGTGATATATTAAGCTAACAAGGCTTATATCTACATAAAGCATGTGCACTTGGTAGTAGTGTGTAGACTCCATTGTGTGATCACCATCATGTATTACCAACACCTTGGGCAATATTTGTGTCACAGTCCATGCATATGTTTTGAGGTATGTACACAGGTAAATCCTTCTGAACATGTCTATGTAAGTATAGAGTATTGAGGTCTAACTTGTGTCAGTGTTTCATAATCTTGTATAAAAAAAGAAAATGTTTAATTCATAAAAATATTAGAAGAGTGTCTAACATTGTTTTGTATTGAACAATTTTTATGTTAAGAGACTCTTGTAAACAATTTATAAGTAGGAAAAATGCTTGTAACATTGTTTAGTTTGCAAGTCAATTTTACTAATCAGTATGTTAAAAATATAAATCTTTTATTTGTAGGAATATTATAAAAATCTGAATTGGTTAGTACTAATCAATTACTATATTAAAAATCAGTTATAAATATCTTTTGGAAAATAAAATAAAATGAAGTACAGTTGTATTGTTGTACTCATATTATTTTATGAAGCCCTGAAATACCCTCTAGTTCTTGTGTCAATAACAATGTATTGATTGACAGATATTTTATTTTGAATACCTATAATATCCAGCTCTATTTTAAACAGACCAGTTAACTTTAATCATTTTCCAATTTCTTCCTTTCTCCTTTGTGCATGTGTGCAATACCAGTCATGTATTATAGGAAAACTAGTGTTACTGAAATAGAAGCTTTGTCTGGTTGTGAGGAGAGTTTCTATGACTTGCTAGCCTATCCCATTGATTTCTGGTCCTGTTCAAACACGAGACCTAGCTATTACAAATTCTGAGTAGTATATGTATATGTGGGCATATATAGTTGTAATGGACAAGTATACTGTACACGTGGTGTTTAAAGGCGTACTTAAATCGGGACTGTTTGTTGTGGAGATATCAAAGCATGTTCTGTACATACAATATTTACATAACCTCAGTATCTTATTTAAGATTTATGACTAAATGGGCAAGGGGGAATGAACAAATTGATGAGCGTGATAAAAAAAAATCTTTGTGAATGTGATCATGTGGAGGTTTCCGGTACAGTCTATGTATTTCATCCCTAAACATGTGTAATGGCTGAGCACATGGTGTATACATTAGAGATAAAACTAGTTAGATTGCTTTTAACCCCTACACGTTCAGAATATAGAACGATTCCCTACCAAGGTGATATACATCAACTTCACATACATTTGTAAACGGTACTAATTCCATTTAACTATGATGTCCTATTTGAGAATATGTATATTATAAAACAGAGTACACTACTCTAACTGGTAAAGGAAAAACACCAGGCGTTCTGAAGCACTACAGTCCTTGTAGCCCCTAGCTGTAAGTTGACATGTAGAAGCACATATGTATAGATGCCTGCTGGAAAAACCACATACTTTATTTCCTAGAATAAGTAGTTTAAATAGAACCCTGTTATAAATTTAACATGAGTTAAATGTTCTTTGCTGTGGCAGACCAGTAAGATTTTATTGGTAAAAACTGATATTGAATTTCATTGGCTCACACAGATGAAAACCTATAAAGCTTAATTTATCAGTTATAAGATATGGACTTAGGCTTTGAACTAGTCATGTCTTGTTAGTTTGAATTGGCTGATATATGGACACTAGCTTGTGAATTTTGTTGAATTTTTTATGTCTTCCAAAATGCCATGGCTTTCCAGCTTCATGTCTTGGGGAGCCATTAGCTGTTATTTATTGTTAAAAGAACACATCAGTTCAGTAAAAACACTGAACGCTCCCTTTTGAGTTAGATATAAAATGTTTGCCTCAACTGTTTTATAACTGTCAGATTGTGTGCAAGACACAATATTGAGTGTCGTGCTGTTTCAGTAAAACTCTACAATATGTGTATAGTTTCGCTTTGTAAAATTCACAGAGGATCACTGGGCAAAATACTAGGGCGCTAATGTCTTAAAATAATTATAATTTGATTATTCAATTCGGACTTCTTGAAATCACATCTACCACTCAACTCGTGGGTAGAATTTAAAACCTGTTGGATCTAGATTAGGAATGTATAAAGATTTGGCATATGCTAGTAAATATAGATTATATTGGGTAAAGACTTGTATATCATTTCAGTAGGCAAACATGTGTAATGATACCAGTAGGCTTGGGAAAATAAGGTACAACTAGAGCGTGTATAGATTTCTTGCTTGTACACATAAATAGTATGTGTCTCGGAAAATTACTCCATGTAGAAGATATATATATATAATATACTGGTTTATGTGTGTATTTGCTTGTGAGAAAATACAGCGATTATTTCAGGCAGAAGAATCAGCTTCATCATTGATATTGGTTATCTTGTTGTGATATAACTATACTTGATATGGAATATCATCTTGATTTTTGAGAGTCAAGCATTGGAATTTAGGAAAGTCTAGTAAGCATGTTAATCCTATGTAATACAAGTAAAGCTGTATTTAGAATAATAATTTACCATTGTAATGTGAAGAAAGAACTTGATCATCTGTGTATGTGTGTAATTATTGACCCTTTCAACTTGAGCCTTTATGACATTATAGCATGTACAAGGCACTGTTCTAGTAATAGACACAAGATGTTTGTAGTCACCTTTGAACAAGAGGTCAGGGCTATAACAGTCTGTGTGTGTATAATATTGTATTATCTAAGGAAGATGTGATACGAGGCTGAGGTGAATATGTTTAGAGGCCTTATTTAACACTAAAAGTCATGAGTGATTTATGCCTCTGTGTGAAGAAATTTTGTTTTCCATTGAAAGGTTTATATAAATTTGTATGAACTGAAAGGTTGTTTCTCAATTGCAACTTAAACCACTATTACATATGATGTCAATATGAACATCTGTATTAGGGTCACACAAGTACACAGTATTTAGTAAGTTTAACACTACCTACAGTAGACATTATACATTTTTACCTGGTATTTGATATTTGAAAGTAGCTAAGGTGCACCAAAAAATTGTTCACCAGATATATATAAGTATTTTTTTATTGAAGAAACATAATAGTTGCATTCCAGAAATTTCTCTTTTTCATGATATATATGTATACTTAAGATATATTCTGTAAGTGGTGTTTTGTGTTTCAGGTTGAGTGATAGTAGCCTGCATGAGCCAGGGTCCCCACATCATGTGAGGTGGTGCAGCACGCCATGTCTACCCAGGAACCCAAGCCAGAGGCCTTCAACCCCCTCGACATTCTCGCTACAGCAGCTGCTCTCAAACAAGTGGATAAAGGTCAACGGGATAAAGGTCATGTAGACAAAGGTCAAGGACAGACCATGACTCAATCTTCACCATCCGACAGTCAGGAAAACCTTACAGACAATAATACAGATGCCAAAACAAGTGATAATAATAAAAATGGAAATAACGGTGTTCATGTTAGGAAGTTCAGAGTGCTGAAAATAACCTCGGATATAGAAAAAATGTTAGACGAACATAACTATGGAAATTCGCGTAAAACTTATGGAAAGCCTTCTTGGCCCGAGACAAGTGTTAAGGACAGAAAAGTAATTGTTACAGTGGTGAACGGGACAGGTGATCATCCAATGGTGAAACCTATTGATTCTGTCGGTGTGGGACCTTCAGGGGACGGGGCCGCAGGTGACAGGAAGATGGACAATGAGGGTGACCAGGTGAATCGTACAAGTGATACAGGTAACCTGCCAGAGGCCGGCCAAGATAACGAGGCAGAGGGCAGTGAGACGCATGAGATAAGCCCAGTAAGTGGAGATCACTCCGTCAGTACAGAGATCAATGATAGTACAGAGTCTAGCTCCGATAGCACTTTGTGTATGTGTACTGATAAAACACTGTGTTCATGTGTGAATAAAAACATACACATCAACACTGGTTCATGCCTAGGTGATGATACCTCAAGCGTGTCGGTGTCCACACCAACAGTTGGGAATGAGTGTTTGTGTGATAAATCTGACAGTGAAACAGATCCAGAATCCCCAAGAAAATGTGACCGAACAGACAATCAACCTGAATGTGACAATAAACAAATTGAACAAACATCTGTAGTTGACTCTGGTGTGTCAAACTGTGATACAGACAGCCGGTGTGATGGTAGTAGTACCACAGAAAACCTTGCATCCTGTCAGCTGGAATCGGGCTACACCGCTAATGCAATGGTAAACGTTGGGTCCTCAAACAAGAAAAGTCACATTCGCATGGTTTCTCACACCATGCCAAACCCAGAGACCAAACTCCATCAACCTCAGACTCTGGTGATAAACATCAACCACAACAAACTGGCTGTTCAATCAGACATTGGCTTATCATCTAAGGCAGAGGACTCACAACTGACCAGCTCATTATCTAATTCTAAGGATCTGTGTATGGAAACTGATGACAATGGTGCTGGAGAATCTGTGTCGGATAAACTTAGTGATCACATATGTAGTGCTGATTTACAGACAACTAGTGCTTTATCAGTTCAGCCTTCTGCTGAAGAAGTCTCGCCTCAACTGTCTACCTTTGTGAAACAAGATCAGGTGTCAGAATCAGAAATGGCTGCAAGTTATAGCAGTATTACTGTGACAAAGGAAAATGGGGAAAATGATGTAATTGGTGGAAAAGTACTACAAGAAATGGATAGTGACAAGCTTTGTTGTAAAAAATCTATAGCATCTACATCATCACTGGAATATGCAAAGAGCCCAGAGTTTGTTGATGTTCCAGAAAGTGTTTCTGATAAACTCTTGGAGGAAGAACTGTTCAAAGAAAGCAATGACAACAGTGTCTTTGATGACTCAACTTTTTCAAATTCTAGCAGCAAAATTTTCTTAAAAACTCAACCCTGTTTGGACGGCCATCAGATAAGTTCGTGTTTAAAACCACTTGTTCAATCTGGACGTAGTGATGAAACCAGCTCACCTGCTTCAGCAGACCATTGCTATGCTGGAATATCTGAACATGTGACAGAACCAAAACCTGTAAGAAAAAGTATAAGGTTACAGTCAGCTGACAGCCTCGTCAGTGATCTATCTCAGGACAGTGGTTTTGTGGAGGTTTCACCGGGTACTCCGAATGGGAATAAAATGTTTCCAAACAGGCTAAGTGACACACCTGTAGACCAAAAAATGGAAACTGGAAGTTCAGACTCAAGTCCTGAAAATTTGGAAATAAGAAATATCAAAAACTTCCTTGTGACATCAAGTTCTGCAGGTATTCTAAGCCAGGATCTCAGTGACGTCAACAAAACAAGAGATGCTATCATTGCATTGATGCAGCAATCGTCTTCAGACAGTGGAATGACAAACATGCATTCTGTACCAGTGACGCCTGTCAAGTCAAATAAAGTGTTGGTTCCAAATAAAAATGTGTCTCCGAAAGTGGGAAAGTATCGTATTGGAACATTTGGATCTGTGAGTAATTCAGCTATGGGTCTCGAGTCTCCCAAGAAAAAAACGACAGCTCAGGTGTTCACATCAAAACAATCATCAATGGACATAGGAAGCTGTACTAAATCTTTATTAGGTAAAATAAACGGAGCAGGGAGGACTGTGATGCCATGTATAGTGACCAGTGCACATAATGGACCACAGCTGACAATTAAGGATTCATCTGTTTCTATGGAAAGTCTGGATACCTGGAGGGGCCATGTGGAGCATGATCATGATTACTGCCTTCCACCCGAGGCAGAATCCTCCAGCCCACACCTCATGGCAAAATTGTTGAAGGATACATCCATGAAGAATGTTATAAAATGCAGTGGAAGGGATAAGCGAACAGAATCTAATGAGTCTAGTGGCAGTACTGGTAAACGACAAAGGAGAGTTAGTCTATCTGGCCGACCAGACTTACCTCGCAATGGCAGTACTGAGTTATCTTCCCCTAGTAGTCTGTCAAGCTCTCCTATTGACTTCCCAGTTGTACAACCTCATATGACCGCAAGACAAAGAGCTAAAGCAGAAAAGGCAGCAGAGTATGTCAAAATGGGTAACTCGGACTCAAAATTAAAAATTACAGGTAAATTCCAGGATGATTACATTTATTTTCTTAACACAAAAGTGCGTAGTAGACGAAGGACAAACAGTCAGGATTTGCCACCACAAATACCTCTGGATAGGATCATAGTGCCAACTCCTAAACCTGGTGATATTGTGGTACCGCATTTAACTGATGCAGACCTTGAGGCAATTAGACTCGGGAAACATGCTTCAATAAAATCGGCAGCTTCATCATCTGGATTAGGAGGTCTGTCCGTGTCTGCCTCCTCATCTTCAAGTTTTAAACAGATACAGTCGTCCTCTTCCATTCAGGTGACATCCTCTCCTATCATAGAGACATCAAAGTCTGGCGTGGTACCGACCAGTTCCATGTCGGATGAGGAAAGCAAGATCATCAATACAATTCTGAGTATGGAAACAGGTGATAATACAAGTACTACAACTTCCTCAAGTATAGCTCAAGACATAGGAACAGAGGTACCCAGCTTATCCCTCCCAACTCCAGATACTTTCAACTTCCTACCGGAGCAGATGAACCTGACTCCAGAGCAGTATGAGATACTGTATAGTGCTATGGATGAGGTACAAGGGTTTGAAGACCTGGACTGTGGGCCTTCCTCTCCAACCTCCAACTCTGAACTGTCTGAGGACACAACCACACCCACAGAACCCTTGAGACCACAGGACAGACTTGGGGAGGTTCTGTCCACTACCACAGAGCCACTACAGGCCAAACTGGATACGCCGACAGTGTCTATGGAAAGACAGGAAGTTCCAACCAAGTCTTCTCTCAAAGTTCACAGTCCCATCGCATCCACTTCACTACCAGGTAAGTTTATAATTAACCAAAATAGAATACAATGTTTTGAACACCCCCAGACAGCAGATCATTTGGAGGTTTAGGACACAGTATTCTATCAGCTTCAGGCTACATTTTAGGTTTACTGAAAATGTTTTTAGAAGATAATTGAACAGTAAAGTTTTATCACAAATAAAAAAAAATCTAGAAAAAAAATACAAAGACTATTGAAATTGTTAACAAGGAGTTCAATACATATTTTATTTTACAGAAATACATGTAACTTTTTATCAAACATAATTACTATTCAAATTTCTTTCTGTAACCCTGTCCTATCAATACTGTAAACTGCATTTAATAATTTCAACTTCTTGTGAAGTACTCCTGAAAAGAATTGTGGACATGCAATTATCTTTGCTAGATTTCCATGGTGTCCATTAGTTCATAAATTGATGCAGAGCCTCTGTCCCACGGTGACAGCAGGACAGAGTAGATCAATTAAATGTTATATAAAATGTGTTGCCTAGATTATTGAACATGTCAAGTATATAGGATAATAATAATTCAATAAGAGCTAGGTAAACTCGGTTATGTGCGATCAATTCTGATTCAGGTTGAAATGTTTGCTGGCCAAGTCAGAACTTATGTATCTATGTGTCTGGAGGCTATTTTTATCTGGAAACACGTGTAGTCATCTATCTATACACATGATGGAAATAAAACGTTGGTCATGTGCTAAGCAGACAAGATTAGCCCTGAGCCCTGTGTAAGCTCCTCTGGAGTAGCTTGGTGTAAACACACTATGCCCATTACTCTAGGTATTAGCTGTTAGGTTTAGAAAGTAAAACTTAAAAGGTGAAGCATTGTGTTTGGATAAGTCCTGGTGGGCTGTAGTTGTCCTCAATCTTGATCACACACACACACACACACACACACTCACTCACTCACTCACTCGCACACAGGTATTATATGTGTACAGTGTAGTATCAATGACAAAACATTTCATGACAAAGAATCGGTTAAGCAAAGAAATAATCCCAGTTTAACTGAAGCCAAGATGTTCAATGTGTCGAATGATTTAAAGCTGCTATGATAACGCCTGAACATAACAGCATGTAATTACACACTGTAACATACCTTTTAAGTACCCTTATAGCTAGCTACCTCAATTAAAATGGCAGTTTCTAGGCAAGACCTGATCAGAAAAGTTTGGTTTCAAGACAAAATTTCATACATTTTTATCAGAAATATCGAACATGTTCTATTGCTAATAAGACTTAATTCAGAAATCTGTAAAGAATTTTTCCATGTGAAATGGCCCAAATATAGTTGTGGCATGATGAGATTCCATGGCCTCCTGTGACTGTGGAGAAAGGGGCACCTGCAGCTGTTGGAAATTGATTTGGTGTATGCAGATCTGTGGTTACTAGGTCATAGGTGTTGTTGTTGAGTTTAGTATGGTATTCCAGATCAATGTTGTGTGATTGGCTGTGTATACTGGGGTTTCAGAAGATTTATTCAATTTTCTCTAGTCAGGTTCTGTCACACACTGGTGTTATCATTTTTAGCAGAAACAAATTAAGCCAGGTTTATAATAAATAGGACATTTACAGTTAGGTTGGACTTTAAGGGCTGGTTTATGATATTGACTTAATTCTGTTGATACGTATACACATCTACACCTTTTCACTAACATAAAACATAAATTAAAAAAGGTTTGATTTGCTAGCTAACCTAGCTGTGGGTCTGGGATCTGTTTCCTAAAAAAATGAAATAACCCATTAATTTTAACATTATTTAAAAGGAAATCAGCTCCTACAATTTAGCTTAGTTTAAACAGGATTCAGTTTAAATGGCAATGAAAGAATTCAAAATAATTTTAGTGGCAAGCATTTAAACCTGTCTAAACCAAACAACACCATGATCTATACACAGCCATTCAGATTAGACAAGTTTGTGTGTTACAACTGTAGGTATACATAGAAATACATTGTGACATTAAATCACGTGTAAAAAGTCTGCTTAATCCAGTTTGTCGAATGATATACTTTTGATAAATACAGATTTACTGTTACCTTACACATCAGTATTTTAACTCACGTTTTAACTCCTCCAATTCAAAGGTTGGTATAGTTTAGGTTTTTTTAGGGGTGAATGAGTTAATGAAGTTGAGAGCATTTGAAAATCAGGTTCATGACCATCATATTCTAGACAGTTCATATAAACAGATCATATTGTAGAGATATTGTTTATCTTGATGGAAGATGGCAAGATTATATTGTAATTGAGGTGGCTGAGCTCTAATGTTGTCAAGAAAGCTGGACAATAGTTTGTCACTGAGTACATGTGTATGTGTTCTATCTGTTATTTTGTTCATTTTTAAGTGTTCATTATGTTAAATTAGTATGTTCAGTGTCTAATGTTGCCTTAACATTATCCTATTAACTTAAATGATTATTCCATTTTAGCACTGAATAGATGTATATGATATTCTCTGTCGAAAATAAAGAAGAGTTCAAACTTATTTAACCACTAATTAGATTAAGTACGGTAAATCTGAAACTTGCCATCTGCTGTATAACTTTGTGTTGTAGACAAAATTACTGAGGTACCTAACATTTTATGGACATACTCGCATATATATAGATAAAATCAAATCAAGAAGATTCATTGACTAAAGTTTAGAGTATTTTTAATTTCCTTTCTGTGGAAACTCAACTGACCAAAACATACCCTTACAAATAGTTTTGAAGGTGGGGAATTTGTAACCAAGCCAACATTGTTGGTTCATTTCAATTTTAATCTGGACAGTATCTGTTTTAACTGAAACCAAGCCTATCTAAGTGTATCTTGACGTATTTAATATTATTCAAGGAAGTTGATAATCAGTAGTTTTGTATGAAGGATGGGATAAAGCTAGTCTCAAGTTACATGTCACAACTAGATGACAAACAGTTTTGTTCTGCTTTCTTAACAGGAAAGAGAGGGCAGTTACAGTATATTTTGATGGGTTGAACTGTATACGTAACTGGTTTTCTGCCAATTTATAAAACTTGTTTGCACTGTTATCCTAGGTTGACCGAGTCCTACACTACAGATATGTAGAGAGTACTGTACTTGCTGTAATTGATGCCCCTCCCCTTCGAGTGCCCAATTTCGCAAATTCGTCCCCGTTTCTGGCTGTCAGTGCTTATAAAAAATATAGTACTATGCACTTGTCATTATCTAGCAGGAGTGTTTTTCTGTGTGTTAGAAAAGGAACAGACAATTTTGGAATTATCGCTGGAAATTTGACAGTTACATCACTGTCACATCAATAGCATCTGCCCATTTTCAAGTGCCCTGGGTGCTAATTATGGCAAATACTGTCAATTTTAGTCAATTTTATTATGCGAGTAGATATGTGTACATTAACACTGAAAACAAACATGAAATTCCATTGACCTTGACTAACGTTGGCACCAACATAAACTATCTACATTAACCACTTAGGAAAAGAGAAGTTGATTTCTGGCTATATGTTTCAATCAAAATCACTTTGCATTGCCTACCTGCATAGAATAAATCAAATCAGACAGGTCTACAGTAAAGTTCAGAGGATTTTAATCTTATTTCTGTGCTTTTTTTGGAGCTCAATTGTCAGTGAATCTGTTTAATTCGCTCTAGCTGTTGTTGATAAAAAAAATCAGGATATATATATTTACCTTGTAATTTCATGCAGGTTTATAAAAATAAATAAGCCAATAAGAAAAAATTAGGAATAATGTCAACAAAGTTGAACCCTTTTGAGCAAAATCTCATTCACTAAATTAAAATGCAATGTCACTGTTTTTGATTATGACTAGATATACTGTTAAAGTTGGCAAATAATGCTTTGTTATGATGATAGTTGTAACGGTTGAGTGGCTGTATGCTGACTGGATTGTTGTTTAGCTGGTGTATCCCCTGTCAGGTTGATGTATAACACAGGTGTGATTTATTAGTGGCGTGATTATAGGTACAGGTATATGTGTACAGGTATAGCAGTACTGATCATAAGTACTGTACACAGTGGTCAGATAGTGGTATCTATATATATATATAGTACACTGAAGAGGTGGTCAGAAAAATACAGTGCTTAGAGATACATATGGTGGTCACACATGGTGTACAGGTAGTGATTCCCTATCACAGACAGAAATTTTGGTAAAATTTAACATTTGAAATAATGTTAATGTGTTACTTGTAAACACCAACATTTCAATCAATAGAATTTTAACAAAATATTTTTTGGAGGGTATATTGAAAAGTATGTATGGATCTGAAGGGTGAAGAATAGGAAAATTAAATAATTTTGATAGATGTATTTAAAAAATAATTTAATAAGCACATATAGTGTAACAGCACTAGCCTTTGTATTATGTAGTACAGTGTGCTGGGACAGTATATTGTGTTAGCCTGTCGGCCGTGAACAAGGGGAGAGAAGTAGGGATTGAAGCGCTGTATATAAAGTGCAAGCCAGTCATGAGGTCACATTAACACTTCAATATGCATGCCTTTGGCTATAGAGACCATCTGAATATTGATGTACATTGTATAGATTTCATAGAAATAGTCTTTGTGGACTGGTGGATTAAATCTGTATACGTGTACACTATATGGGGAATTTGGTTACAAGATTTTCATTTTGAAGCTGTTTTTGTAATGCTAGACGTTCTCGTGTGAGGAAACGAAATATTGGATGACTGTCTGGTATAAAACAAATTTGGGAAAACCTTAAAAAAAAGAAACTTGATTTGATTTTTATGTTTTCTAGAATATATAAATATGGTTTTCAATACTTTACATAGTTTTCAAAGGATTTGGTTGTCCCGGCTAAGTAATACAAATCTGGTGTTTCGTCCTACATACATATGAACCAGAATTTAATCTTGATTAAAAATCCCCTTACTTCCGTTGATAAAAGGTTGTTTTATAAAAATGTAAATGAGGCAAAACAAAAACTGAAATAAAAATGTACTACCAAGATTTAAGAAAGTACCAGCTGTCAGGAACATAATAAACAAAACTAGTGATTCAAGGTACCATATTTGCCATAAATAGTACGTGCCCCTTCCTTTATAAGTGACCCTCCCATTTTTCAGCACTTATTGAATGATAGAACTGTCCCTTTTTCTGGCCATTCTGGCCCTGTCAAGTTTATATCAGATATCATTCTACAGTCTAGCAACCTGACAAGACAGTTTTTCAGTGTTTAGAAAAAAGAAAAAGATTAATTTTTGAATTCTTGCTGGAAATGTGTCCGCCAGTTCAGTGGTCTTCCCAGCATCTGCCAAAACTTATGTGTTGTTTACCTAATAGATGGTCTGGATTCCGTCACCAAAATTTTTGGCATCCTTGGTGCTAATTACAGTGAATATAATAATAATAATAATAATAATACTGGACGCAGGCAATATGCCTATATATCCAGATCTGGAATATAGTCAGACACTATGCTGACGTCGGGGCAATGAATAAGTTCATTATTGTCTATCTCATGGTTATAGAAACAATCAGGTTGTCCCCAATACTTATCCAGACGGGATTCAAATGTTTTGATATGGTAAATGTATATTTATGAAGATTGACCAAAGAATCAGATATAGGCAGATCATAATGAGGTTAATAACTGAGAATAAAGACAATCTGATCAATTCACAGATGTTGATTAGCTGATACATATCTATAAGGAAAACACAAAAAACAACTTAAAATGAATGAGAGAGATTAACTCAAGGATGAATAATTGGGATATATACATGTAATAATAGTATGAGAGCTTGTTAGCATGCACAATACAGGATTGGTCGTCATAGTACAAGCTAGGCTATTATCGCACACTAGATGGTATATAATATAGCCGTTCAATCAAGTACCCTAGATACAAGGTAAGGTCAGGCTAAAAAGGGTTTTAAAAATGTGATGATTAGTCTGTCTCTACCCGTTCCCAGGTATATTTCGTGACTGTAATTGGCTCTAAATATAACTATGCCCGTCCTATAGCTATGCTATGCTATAGATTTCCAATGATTTGTCATGGCTACAGGGTCTTCGTGTTTACATGGGTTCAGTCACTGACAGGATACAATCGAACTATATCAGCCTTCAACAGTTCTTATAATTACATTACCTTCAAACAATGTTTTATGAATAAAAAATCTACATTCATCATGATCCAAAATCTTTAAGCTTCCAGTGCATCTTGCCTTCAATAATGTGATATTCTGTGTAGAAATCCATAGAGACAGTGATAGTAGCTAAAGCTGTACAGAGAGTCTTTGTATAATCCTCTATGGTAAAGTAAAGATGGAAACAAATATCTTATGAGTTGCATTGTTAGTTGCTAGAGTTTTGATTGAAGAGTTCGGTAACATTTCCATGTTAAGTGAAGGAAACTTCAGTGGGTTCCCAATTCCAAAAACATTAAAAAAAATAATCAAAAAGGTTGTTTTCTTGGATAACAGCTTTTTTTTCTCTCCTATGAAGCCATTCTGTTAAATTGTTAGTAGATGTAAGTTTTCAGTGTAAGTACCATTGTGGCTGTATCAGGGATGTGTAGTGGAAGTTGTCAGCATGGGGAGTGATCAAGATGGTACAGACATATAAACAGGAGCAATAAAGGCTGAAGCAATCAATACACAGTATTGGTGGTACTGGCTAGCCTATATCCTTTGTGGTAACAGGACATTGATTGCCAGCTAGAGGTTGTCTAAAGGCCACCACTTCCGAGAAGGGAAAGAAAACCCGCTTTGTGTTCAAATTCTCTCCTGATCAGAACTGCTTTGTTTTTGTAGTTTCTTACTTGTGATCAGTGTGATCCTTTTTCTTACCGAAGATGGGTTGCATTCAGCCTACTTAAATTTAGATCAATAGACAAAAGTGAAATAAGTTACCTTCTCATAAAATATTACCTCCTGTAGCAAGAAAAGAAAAATCTACCATTTGCTTTCATAAAGGCTGCATATATCACTGTAACTCTTTCCTGACAAAATAGAATTAAAGATACTGGTGGTAGTCAGCAGATATGTCCTCTACTATTTCTACGTCAGTATCAGTCGCCTGCCTTCCCTATCATTCCACCATATTTAGTTCACAGGTACCAAGATATTGACTATGTACATATTCGTAAATGGCCCACTTCATTTGGCTACATATGAAAATCGTATCTTTTCTTGAAATCGAAGCCTATGTTTATTCTTTGAGGCAAAGAAAGGGAGGGAAACATTCAACTTGACATTTGCTTGATTATATATCGACTGTTACTCCTGTATACAACTACACACACATTTTTCTGTTACTCCAGAAATAAGAAAAAATTATGTTATCTAAAAGGACTTGCTTTTATGTGGCAAGTTATAAATCTACAAGGGAAATCCATGCAAATGATATTATTGTGAAGACTTCGGTTGTTCTTTAATTGAACAGAAAACTGAAATTAAAATTGATCTGTCAGCAATTAAAGGATTCACAACTAAGAAAATCAATACCCACTGTGCACTTGAAACAATGATGTATTTTACATAAACAGTGAAGCATGAAATTAAAACCACATCATCAATATTTTCTGACAGAAGAATATAAAGACATTACATTAGGTCACTTTCTAATCGTTTAACTATTATATTTTTTTTTTTACTTTCCAGAATCGCTGGAGTCATTGAGTGAAAGCAAAGAGAAAGTAGTTTTCCCAAGCCCTGTAAGTGAGCCATCAAACCAGGATTTAATGAAATGTGAGGACAAGCCTCTTACAGTAAAGTCACTACTGCAGGCAAATGGAGCTGCCAAATCTCTCCTACAGCCAGGCAGTACTGTGGCGGGTGTACAAATGGGACAACAGTCAGCTCTGACAAATGGAGTGGTGGGTCCAGCCACCATTGTAAAGTCCCTGCTGAAAACTGATCAGTCCAAATCTCTCCTAACATCAGACATTCCAGGTCCCAGTGCTGTCAGTAGTATTCAGGACCTTCCTTTTACCTCCTTGGATAAATCTTCAACACAGGACCTCCCTTTTACCTCCCTTGAAAAATCATCATTAGATCTCTTTGAAAATGACCTCAAGTTGTTTCCAGATGCGACAGTCCCTGAAAGCTCTAGTCCTGCTACCATTCCTCCCACAGTGTCCCGAGCACCCCCTCCAACAGACTACAGTGCCCCCTGGATTGTCACCGTTAGTATGTTTTGGAATGATTTACCTGCAATCATGATCAACAATTTACCGTTTGTTCGTCTGGTAGATATTCATAAACAAATCTTACCAGCAAAAGATACAGGAATTCTGAAAAAGAGATGTCAGTTACTTGGAATTAATGTAGGCAATTGCTCAGAAATGCAGCGTTATTTCCTTGTTCAGTACGGCAAGGCTTTTAACTCCAAAAGTACCTTGATTGTGGGGAAGAATGATGCCAAGATGTTGATAGGATACTATGTTAACCCAGTTCCCAAAACTGCTCGAGGAGAGGAATCACTGGTGGGCCGTAGTCTGGAGGAACATCGTGTGGGGACATCCAGGTTCTCCAAGGTCAGAGGAGGAGCCAAGGTCAAACACCACAACACAGAACCAAGGTAACCTATAATGCCAGTCCAATTTTACCAGCATGCCCTTACTTAACTTGCTCCGGTAGATAACAGCAGAATATGTTTATATGATACTCGTATGGGGGTAAATTCTATAATCTGTGTAGATTGAACCTCATTCAAACTTTTGTTATCTGAGAATCGATCCAAGATATCAATAAACTGTGTGTTGGATGTACTAGCCCACTGTTAATAGATAGCAATAGATGTACTTGCCCTGGACAGTAGACACTGTGTATACTAGTCTAGAATAGAAGACACTTTAAATGTATTAGCCTATCAGTTGGGTAGTTGACAGTGATGACATCTAAGATACATGTACTATTGCAAACTAAAATTTACACGAGTCAGAATTGCTTGATCTGTGCCCGGGGCTAGGTAGATCTTTTTTAAGCTTGTATAGGTCTCCTTACACATTCCTTCTCAAGCACTAGTAGTTTTTTCACTCCCGACTCGTTAGATATACCTGCTAGGAATTGGTATAGGTATATCTAAACATTTTTGTTTACTCACTTCGTAGCACCCTGGACTTTATTTCATTGGTTAGTTTAATTATGATGTCACAAACAATACTTTGCATTGGCATTTTCCGTTGTGACTTCATGGTAATTTATTTCCAAAAAGAAAACAAGAGCATCAATGTTGTGGGAGAAGAAAGTCTCCCGACTTGTGATGGCTGGTTATCCTATTTAGCTTACTTTCATTAGTTAACCCCCCCCTATGTAACTTTAGTAGACTCTACCATGCATTGATAGGGATGAGTCCATTATGATTTACAGTGGTGAAAGGGTTTATTTTCAAATTACACTTGGTGAAGTTATACTAATTAGAAATAAACTCAAGTTTAAATAAACATTATAAACCAATGGTGAACCACCATTTGTTAAGGAACCTTTATTTATCATTCACATTTACATAAGCACGTGTTTTGAAATATACAATTTGTGAGCAACGAAATTTTTGATTTATCAAACTTTGTTAAATGTGTTTCCATTTCCAACTGGAAAAATATTGTTGAATAAAGATGTGTATATTCTAGGAATATCAATGAATCCGTTGGCTGGATAAAAGAGAGGCGATTACAGTGGTATAGTAGTGCCATATGGCTGATCGTAAAGTGGGTCAGCTTTAGGTACAGAGTGTCTACACATTTCCTGTTAGCTTGTTTTACCCAGGGGCTAACACTGGCTAGCTCTACTGTACACTCACTGTATACAGTCATGTAGTACTCCTACTGTATATAGTCAGATTAATATATGTGTGGAAATCTGACACAGTATACATTCACTGTATGCATGTGTGTATAACCAAGACTTTCTATAAGGAAGCACCGGTTGGCTGGCTGTGAACAAAAAGTGATATAATTAAATTCAGTAAAGCATGGAGTTATTACATTCGTTGTTAATGATTAGAGTAACTTTTCATAACTAATATTGAAGTTGATACCTTTAGTAATTGGTTAATAATGGATTTGGGATTAAGGTGAAAGACATTTGCTTCAGTCCTTGATCTGTATATAGATTTAGAAAAATGATAGAATATGTATCGCTTATCTGATTCCCCATATTACAAAAATATCAGACGCTTAATATAGCTTAAACAGCAATATTCCCATCTAACAAATGATTTGGTTGGACAAAATTCTAAGAAGTAGTACATTGAAAATTCATTTGTTTTTCACTACATAGTAATTTCAGAAAGTCTCAAGAAAGTGTTGTGCATTTTTGGAGATGAAAGTGGTTGATGTCCTTAAGTGCTTGTGACTCCTTCACTTTCCGATTCTATTGTTCAAACTGCTCTACACAACAAGATATTGAAACTGACATTTATATTAGTGCTCGCTTGCAGCTAAGATCCAAATAGATTTACATGACATGTTTGTCAGATCATCTAATAATAAGCTGCGTATAAATTAAATAAAGAAGAAATTGATATTCATTCAAACAGGATGTTGTAATTTCCTGTACTCAATAAGGCTGTGTCATGAACAGATTCTTCATTATAGCAGGGGGTTTGTGTAAAGTGGGTCATGTCTGCTTACTAGTAAATTATAGGCATAACTATGGCACTCATGATATGTCAAACTATACATAGAATGGAAAAAAAATAGACTGAAATTTTGGGCGGAGGGCCTTAAACCAACTTAGTTATGTACCAACACAAATTAACTATAAGATATGTACTGAAAAAAGCTTAACCTGTTGTGGTGTTCAGTAGATTAAGTTTGTAATGTTGGGAATCTTTCAGATGTTTGCTTTTTTTTTGTATATTTTGTCCATTCCCCAGAGCCCAGATTTTGTTGATGAAGAATTATGTTTGCTTCAGAGCATAAATTGAGAGATGTTTTGTTTGTATTAGACACCTAGGCTTGCACCATATTGATAACACATAGGTATATATCGTGGGTAAGCCTTTTGTTTGTGATAGCTAGATTTAATTTGTCACAATCAGGCAGCAGTCACTTGAATGCTGAACTTGCTCGCTGTGCAATGTCTGGTATACTATATATATGTATACTGACCTGAGGAAAAGAGGTCTGCATTATGAATAATTTGTGGATCGTGTGGTTTCTTGTGACAGACTAAAGGATGGATATGAATATTCATGGTCTCTTTATCTCCCATTATTTGTATCAGACATTGATGGGATGCTGTTAAGTAGGTCTCTGTTACATTATATGGGCATGCTCAGCCTGACAATACTTAATTAATGTCCATTTTCATTAATACAACATTCCCATAATGAAAATAAATTGCTATAAGTCTTTCGATGTTAGGTCTAATTAAGAAAATAGGAAAAGTACCAGCGTATCTATTTGGGAAAAATCTTAAATGCTTCGATAAATGTAATATAAAGATTTAACATTTTAGAAAAACAAGATGCAAATTGAATTTGTTTTGAGCTAGGTTCCCATTTCTAAATTTCAATGTCATTTATATGATTACAGAGCCATCCTAGAAGTACCTCCAGTGCTCCCTGTGTCGCAGCCTGAGGAGGACGAGATCCTTGTTCGACCTTTGCCCCTCCAGGATGTCACCGTAACCAGGACTGCAGTTTCTGCCCCAGTATCTCCGACAGCAGTTTCAGTGTCACAGTCAACTTCGCAACCAGGACGTGTATCACACAGGACAAGGCATAAGAAAATAAATTTCCTGGAAATGTTGAAAGGGGATGCCAATAATAACACTAGTTTAGTGGATAACGTAACCCCCCAAGGCTCTGTCCCTGTTGCAGAGGAAAGTGTGTGCGAGGATACTATACCCAGTATGCCTACAGCACCCGAGGACAGTATATCCAAGGAAAAATTCGTGAAAAGGAACGTTAATGTGAAAAATGTGAGAACATCATCTGGTAAGATAAAGGATAAGATTGTCAATAGAGACAGGGTCAAGGTAAAAAAGGGCAAGGACCCTGTGCCTGCCGAAGAACAGAGCATGGGGGAAAGCGAGTGCGAGAACCGTACAGAGGAGGAGGAGGAAGAAGAGGAAGTAGTGGAAGGGCTCAGTGATAAACTCCCATTCTTCATGGGCGAACGAGGAGCTAAAAATAATGACCGTGAACAGATGGCAAAAAAATTAAAAATCATGAAAAATCGAAAACCTGGCGCTTTAAAAGTGAAATGGAAGATTTTTGGAAAGTCAAATAGTGCAAAAAGGGCTATGTTCAATAAAGGTAATAACAAAACTGAGTTGAGATCAGAAATTCTTGCTGTCATTCATAAAGACATGGTGCCAAAAAATGGACACAAACATAGATTGCAGGCAGGCAATGTGTTCCTGGACCAATACAATAGAAAGGACTCGACCTGTGTCAGATGCTGCACGTGTAAAAAGCTGCTGTCTGTTGACATGTTCCTCATACATCTGCATGAGATTGGGGGCAGTGGTAAACTGTTGTCAGTCAGTCAACCCCAGGTCATATCTCTTCGAGACTCTTACCCATCAGAAACACAGAAAAGACTTTGGGAGAATTTCCAAAAGAGGCGACGATTACATTCTAACAACAGTGATCGCTCTAAGAACAGTGCTGTGGAAAGTGTGGAAAAAGCGCCGGAGGAAATATTATCTGTGCCGAGTAAAAAAGTAGAACAGAGAAAAAAAGTGGTTAGTGAGAAATTGGCAAAGGTCAGCCTAAGGCACACTAGTGTTCCTGCCATTCAGGCTCCTGTGACACTTAGCAATGGCAATGTCAGAATTAGTGCTAGAAAACGCAAACAGAAACAGCTATATCCTATTGAGAACTACAGTTTTTCACGCAAAAGCCAACAGAAAAACCTTCAAATAGATTCGGATGGGGACGAGCCTCTCTCTCCAAATGGACTTGAGGTGAATGTTGATGAGGGTGTCTCCCCCTCCAAAGTTATCAGACTTCTACCCTCAGTGTTGGACAGTGGCACAAGTGTTGGTGTTGACCGGGTTGTGCCCCAAGTCAGTCAAGGGAGTGTTCTCACCCTGGCTAATGGACCAGAAGTGATCAGTTTTACAGCCCTTCAGGAGGATGAGGCTATGGACATGGTTTAGATGTGATGGATTGGTTTTTATAGTCTTCTAATTGAGCTATTTTCACATTCAGTTACATGTTAGATTAAATTGACATCACTTGAGGCTGGTGTTTGTTTCTAATTCCTTGTGTCTTTTAAACCAAATATATATCTGTTTTCCTGGAACTCATCATGTAATGTGTTTAAAAGTCAGTAATGTGCTTTTAAAGTTGCAGTGCATATGTGTGTATTATGTAAACTAGAAAGGATCATGTACACACATCAGATCAATGCAATATTTCCAGATCAAGAGTAAATTAATTAAACGTTCAGTTAGTTATTCTAGAAATCAAATTAACGTAATTATAAGGGAGTTGGAATTATTAGTTGTTTTGTATTTGGAGTTAAAATTTATTGATGCTTGTTCATTTTTGCAACATTGTTTCTGTTCTAACATAGTCAGTCATATTGATATTGTAAACCAGTATGACAGGAATTGATTGAATTGTCATTAAATGGAAAAAAAATAACGTTCAGTGTTTCCTTTATAAGCTTTCGTGGCATTTTGGTTCATGTGCATAACATTGTATATTATGCAGAAAAGTGGTCCAATGTATAGGCGAAAGATGAAACATCAAATTAAATTTATCCCAGCAAATACTATTCCCTTGTGTGACTTGTTTTTATATAGAAGCATGTAATGACATATATACATGCTAGCCCCTTTAATTCATCGGTACAAGCTGATATTAATTAAATTCTCTGGCAGACTTTTGACAGCAAACATGGTTACATGATCATTCTTTAGTCTAGATTATTGGAGGTCTTAAGTGTTTGGTGGTAAAATTCACACCTAATTGTGAACAAGCAATGAATTAAATTTATAGTGGTAATTATTGATATAATTTCTCTCCTCTTCCATCTGTTGCGGTGTGGTATTATGATGAAACAAAGCTGACATATTGTTGTCATGACAACGATATCTCGACAGTTGCGTGGATTATTTGTGGACAGAATAGATATTGGAGGATGGTGTATAAACAAACCATACCAGAATGTTAGGAGGCTGGTCTGTCAATCCTAGTCCAATTAAGTCTGGAATATACAGCTGGTACACTCACAACTAACAAATTAATGTAAATCTCTTAAAATTTTATTAGATGCGTGTTTTATTGATTTTGCAACAGGAGTCGATGCATTTACCAACAAAGCCTAGTTATATCTTGCATGTAGTAATTAAATCCTTGTAAAGGAGGTCTTGTAGGATGGACATAAATATTTATCCTGCAATTATCCCAGGGGAATAACATCAGAAAATCCTTGTCAAAGGTGGGCGGGCTTGTAACAGAACAATGAACTAGCATGTGTCGGCATTTTCACTTAACTACTATAGATATGGGTAGCCCCATTGAAAAAAATATTTTAATGAAAACCAGTCATTTTTACAAAGCTTGATAAAGACATTTGAATCGCAGCAGGGAACTGATTTTCAAACCGAAATACTGTAGGTACTTATTTTATCATATAATACAGATTCACATTTTATCATATAATACAGATGCACATATTCACATAACATATATGTCTGTTTATTTTTCACTAGTTTGTTTTGAGAATAAACTGCCAGAAAACTGTTATCGCCTATTTGCAGTTTTGCTTTGAAAACAAACACTTCTTTCAGATTCTAAACGATCAGATTTGGTTTGGAAGCTTGCACCTGTATTTCAGAGTAAAATTTTTAATCCTTTTATACAACTAACATACTATTGTAAATAAAAGAACTAAGTTGAGGTTTACAAACAGCCAAGCCTGTATATTAAAGGACATAAACAACTTTGTGAAGTCAAGCCAATATCTTCACTGTGAGAATGTGTCTTCATTGCAGTGTATTACTCAGATGTATTGATTCTAAAACCACGATTTAGGTTAAAGGGTGAAAAAACATTGAAAAAGAAAATGAAAAAAATGAAAGGAATCCAAATACTCCTGGGAAATATGCAAGTGCTTATTCCAATATTCCATGTCAAGTTATGATTTTGTAGTAAAAGTTCAGATGAGTAGATGCTCATCAAGTGTGATACATAATACACACATATAGTGAGATCGGTCTGGCACTAATCATTGCAGCATCATGGCATGTTTTATCCTGTTTGTTAAACCATGTCACAAGGCATGACAATGTCTAATGGTGACTGCTGGATTGTCGCTAGTAACGGTTAGTAATCAATTGTGATGATATGCTCCTCGCATACTCTCGGCAAGATCTGTCTTCAGCTGATTACTGTAACATTTTCCTTTCAAAGTGCCAGAATTCCTGTCAATTTTCTGCATTGTAAAGTACAGAGACCAGAATACACTGACATTTTATCAGCAAATGGTAACTTCTTTTGCTGTTAATTTCAAACTCTTTAAAGAACGATAGATGAGAAAGGTTTTCATTAGCTGTACATTTTTTCTCCTACGTGAGGTATTACTAGAGTTCTAAGCCTAACGTGTCTGGTAATCAACAGCAGACCGATAACAAGAGGATTCTCAGAACCAAGGTTTTGTTGGTTTCTCATTGTGTTAAATGTACTGGGGTCTGAAACTGCTGCTCAATCCTTTTGACCTTTGTAGAAAATTGTTGCTTCCACTGTTCATATCCCTCTGAAGAAATGTCACTGGTAATTACTGTTCTGAATACATTGTAACGCTTTCCAATTTCAATGGAGAATCTGACATAATGTTGGTATTGTAGTTACGCAATTTGAAATACTTTGTTTCCCTAAACTTATATTTACAAGAGAATGCAATTACCATATACCAGAGGAGGGACCCCTGTGTTATCCGCCCTGCTGCTATTCAACGACCCGCAGGGTAGGCGACAGCTTCTTTTCATCTGAAGGAGTTCCCTCATCTTGTATAACCACTAACATTGGCACAAGTTCTATAGAGCTTGCATGTGAATTGTGAAGGAAATAATGTCCTATTTGCATATGATGTGATGTAATGGTATAAGGGTAGTAGTACATGAGAAGAATTCCTTGGCATGGTTAAGGCAGGAAGCCTCGTGTGACAGTAAAATGAAGATCAGGGATAACACCAGTTTACTCCTTGTTTCATGAATCGGTAATGGGAATGTGAAGCTTCATGACTTTGAAACGTTTCAGAAATCAATGTAAAGATGGATGTTTTAAAAAAACATCAAAACATGTGGTGCACACAACATCTGTTACATTACTTCATTATTAATTTTAGGTGTCACCATGGTAACCTACACTGAAATTACCATACTGCTAACAGGTGATTCTGTACACACATACACGACTTCAAAGCTGTCGGGTAAATATTCATTTTAGAACTTTTATGTAAAAACTAAAAATCATTAAAATGTACTTGTTTAAGATCAGTGTAATAAGAGGCCATCAAGCCAGACTAGATATAAATTAAGGTCATACAAGATACAAAGATCAGTCATGGTCAATAATATGTCCTTCAGCCAAGCTCGGGATACAAAGATCAGTCGTGGGATACAAAGATCAGTTGTGGTGAATAAAATGTCGTTTAACCAAGACCAATATATATTGGAGGTTGTCCATTTAAACTCAAGATACAGATAAAGATAATTCAGTCATGATCAATAAGATGTCCTTCAACCAAGGTCAAGGTAATGGAGGTTGCCAAGCACAGGATATGAAAGTCAGTCGTGGTCAATGAGATGTCCTTCAGCCAAAGTCAAGTTAATGGAGGTTGTTCAGTTAAACTCAAGATGCTAAGGTCAGTCATTGTCAATAAGATGTCTTTTAACCAAGGTCAAGGTAATGGAAACACTATCAATCAAAACAAGAGGCCCATGGGCCTTAACGGTCACCTGATATATTTATACATAGAGTTGATTTTGTTTTTACCACGAACAGAAATATTATTCAGTGAAAAAAAACAATAAAACCACCTTATTCAATATCTAGCATACAGATTTAAGACTAAAAAGTATTTGAAACTAGCACCTCTGATTCTAAACAAGGAAAATGAAGAAATTTTAGCACACTGACTCCTTTGGGCCCCACCCTACAGCCCTTGGGGTAGGGCTGGCTCAAAATTTTCAAAGTATCAAACTGTCAACTCAGGGTTATAATTCCAATCAAGTTATTAACATGTTATATTCAAAGTATCATTTGCCATTATAAACCATAATAAATTTTGATCCCCCCCCCATTTCAATTAAACAAATGTTGGTCCAAAATGTGATTTCCCTATATAAACTATAGTAAAGTTTACCCCTCCCCAGGGGTAAACGTGAGACCTCAGGACCATGAAATTCACAATTTTGGTAAAGCACCTTAAGACCCTTCCATCTATGAAGAGTATTTGATTCTACCATATCTTGGTCTTGAGAAGATTTTTGAAATTTCAGTCAATTCGACCCTTTTTGGCCCCACCCAATAGCTCCGGGGGGTCAGTCGGGGCTCATTTGTGCATACCATCAAACTGCTACCCAATACTGATAATGCTAACCTAAATTGAATTACCTCCAATGGCAATTAAACAACAAGAGGCCCAATGGGCCTGCATCGCTCACCTGTTATTAATCTAACACTTGTAATCTTAAGATTTCATAAGAACCTTTTAAAAGATTTAAACATATGACGCCTCTGACCTTGATTGTCAAACAAGGACATTAGGTTGAAAGTGGATCAAGGTCATTCATTTGAACTTACATGGTAGTCCTTCATCCCAGCATGCTACAGGCCCAATTTCAGTACCCTGGCCCTTTTGCTTATTGAAAAGAAGTCGTTTGAAGATTTTTCGACATTTTACCCCTGTGAGCTTGAAAGTTGGTCAAGGTCATTCAGTTGAACAAACTTGATAGTCCTTCATCCCAGCATGCTCCTGGGCCTTTTGGTTATTGAGAAGAAGTCGTTTAAAGATTTTATGACATCTGACCCCTTTGACCTTTGAAAGTTGGTCAAGGTCATTCATTTGAACTAACTTGGTAATCCTTCATCCCAGCATGCTACAGGCCCAATATCAGTACCCTGGCCCTTTTACTCATTGAGAAGAAGTCGCTTGAAGATTTTACAACATTTGACCCCTGTAACTTCGAAAGTTGGTCAAGGTCATTCATTTGAATAAACTTGTTTTGGAGAAGAAGTCGAAAATGTAAATTGTTTACGGACGCACGACGGACGACGACGGACAAAAGGCGAGCGCAATAGGTCACTTGAGACTTTGTCTCAGGTGACCTAAAAAGCAATAGGGGTTATTTATATAAGTTCAAGATAACAATGGTCACTCACTCGAGGTCAAGAAAATAAGACTTGGTCATTTCAAGTCAATATAGTGAAAAGGCAATTGTGTAATTTTAATCAAGATCAGAACAGTGGATTTATAAAGAAAACAACTTTCTTTCACAGAATCACAAGGCATTGAGTAATCCAAATTTATCCTGGACTTCAACTTGATGTGATAGAGGACTATCAAGTTTGTTCAAATGAATAATAATTTGCTTTCAATGTCGTGTGTCAAATGTGTAAAAAAGCTTTAAGCTCTTCTGATCTACATACAGTCTAACCCAATTCTCTATTTATGACATTTGGTTGGGTGACAGCTATTTATTTTCACAACTTCCAAGGTTGCAGATGTCAAGTATGTTCAAAATGCAAACAACTTTTTCAAAAATATTAAGCGCAGTCATGATATATTGTCATGTTTCTTGCTGAGATGGAGTGCAGTATCAAGTAAATTCAAAGAAAGGTCAGTGACGCTCACAAGGGCAAGGCAAAATGTGCTAAACATTTTAAACAATGTCTTCTTCAGAAGCAATAGAGCTAGTCATGTTTGGGCTGTAGCTTGGTTGTGGAGTGCTAACATGTGACCATGACCTCTTCAAAGGTAACAGTAGTGAAGTGAACTCAAACTACAAATGTCTCTTCAGCACTGACGCCTTTAGTCACGATTCTTTGTAACCCTTGTTGATGTTAATGTCATTTACATGGCTTAAAAGGACATCAGATCATGGTCTTTTGACATTTGTGTGTAAACTAGAAAGAAATAGCACTGGATATGGATACCAGGAAATGTTGAAACAGAGATATGTGTTTACAGCCTTAAAACTTGTATGGAAAAATCTAAACAAAGAGAACCTCTCTTAAATAAGAAATGCATATATTCCTCACAGTATTGGAGGTAATAATAAACAATTGAATTAACTTTAGAATACTTTTGTGAGTTAAGAAAAGGAGGTGTTTTATAGATTGTTTTGAGAATACAGCATGCATATTTGTGATGAGAAATGCTTTTTACTGGAACCACACAGAGTAATTCTTTATCAATAGCACTATTTTCAGCTGCTTCATGGCGTTTCACAATAATCTACTAGCATTATCAAGGCTCTCGGTCTAGTTATTGGGTCTCCTCAGCTTAATAACTCAATGGTAAATGTTGAATGTGTGATAGCTACCATTTCATTAAAACTAAAAGTACAATGTCCTTATATTAAAAGTACAATGTCCTTATATGTGAAATAATAACTCTCAATTGACAGACATTAGAAAATAGTTCAGCTCCAGGGCATATTTTTAAGATAAAGAATTATTAGTGTGTGCTAACGAAGCCCGATATAGCTGGTGTCAGCTGTTAAATGTCTGTTTGGTTAGGTAGACATTATAACAACTACAATTTAGAATTAGTTTGCTAAACTGCCAAAGAACAGAGCAATATTAAACAAGAGCTGTTGGAGAACAGCATAGCTGGCCTATGTATGTTATTAAAATACTGCAACTATCAATAGAAACACATGTATAGTAAAACGTTGATATAGTGCCTGTCATTTTATTTGCCACCTCATTTACCACCAGCATATTTCAAGGACTGTCATTGTGTAGAAACATCTATGTGAAGTGATTGTTAAGAAATAAATTAACAAAGTACCAATGGAGCTGTTTTTGGCCCCTGAAATATGAAAATATGATTCAACACATTGCTTACACTCAATACAAATACTTCAACCTTATTCCGTCTTTGCGTATTGCAGAGTTATCTTCTCTTGTGAGCAGGTATTGATTGTTACGTCATTGGTTTGTGAGAGTAACATCATCAATTTTTGAGAAAACAACGTAATTTTCTCACACAAACCAATGACGCAACAATCAATACCTGCTCACAAGAGAAGATAACTCTGCAATACGCAAAGACGGAAAAAAAGACAACAGCCTAATGATAGTGGTTGCCCAACACTACCCAAAGCTTTTAATCAAGTCCAATGAAGCTGTTTTTTGCCCCTAAAATATGAAAATATTGTCCAGAACATTGCTAACACTCCATATAAATACTTCAACTTTATAATAGACAACAGCCTATTGATGGTGGTAGTCCAATACTTCACAAAAAAACTTGCCCAAAAACTTTAACCTCAAATTTAACTAAGTCCAATTAATCTGTTTTTGGCCCCTAAAATATGAAAATATGGTCCAGCACATTGCTTACACATGATATAAATGACTTAAAACTCATAATAGACAACTGTATATTGAGTGTGATGATCCAACACTGTCTGGAAAAAAAACTGTGAAGGCCAGTCACAGTGCAAAACACAACTTTTGTGGGTGGAGGTTTGTCACAAAATCTCATACAGATAAAAGTTATGGCCTGTACAATATTAGGAGAAGAACCTGGACCTGTGCTAATACAATAAATCTCCCATTTCATTCAAAGAAAAGACGTTATTTAGTCTTAGATAAAAAAAATCTAAGTGTTAAGAAGCTTGGAATACAAAAGGTCTATGAGATTCATCAAGGTATTAAGTCTTCAGCAGTATGTTATTCAAGCTAAACCTTGTATGACTATTACCCTTGGAGCCAAAGCTTTCAAAAAGTAAGCATTATGTGGCCCACATAAACTTATCAATGATGGTGATTAGCAAAACATTAATGGAAAATCTGACAGCTAATTATTATAGAGGATTTATGAGAAGAGTTGTGATGGAATCTTCTACTATTCATGAAGAAATAAAAAAATCACACTCCTTCTCACAATGAAAACTTTTCACATTACAAATCCATCTAGACTTTTCTGTTGTAAGAAAGATAACTACAATATTTTTACAAATATTCAAGATTGAAAATGATGGAATCTTCTACTATATATGAAGAAATAAAAAAATCACCCTCCTTCTCACAATGAAAACTTTTCACATTACAAATCCATCTAGACTTTTCTGTTGTAAGGGAGATAACTACAATATTTTTACAAATATTCAAGATTGAAAATGACAGTGATCTTGCAATTTGCTCCATTACCCACATATAACTTAAAAAAATCTCTGGACAAAAGCAAGGTGAACTGCTACAAACATTTCAGTTATAAGGACCAAATCACAGCTGATGATTGAAATCATATTCATAGATGATGTGATTTTTTTTTAGTTTAGTTCAAGTATTCACTATTAAATAATCAGAGATTTGGATCTTCATGTATTATCTCTAGAGTTTCGCAATCAATCTAACTCAAATGGAGAAAAAAAAACCAAAGGTTTTACAAGGAATTATCGAGCATTAAATGAAAATGACCCCATTAAAGGACTAGGGGCGTTCAGGGTTATATTCGTAATCTGGGATAAATGAATTACGCAAATATGAAATTTCAAATCAATTTTACAACTGGTTTAGGAGATATGGCAGTACAAAGACAGACATAAACTCACATTTTTGTAATACAATGCGTGAATTGGTCATTTTGAAGGAAATTAATTAAACCCATTTTGAAAGCCTCTACATGCACCAAACCGATCAATATTTGACATGCTTCAACATTGTCATACCAGTGTTCATTCGCAGAAAGGAATATTTGTATGTCACATGCATAGGCTTGCATTTCTGCATGCATTTTGGAAAAAATCAGCACCAAGAAGGATAGCCCCAATTAACCAACTATAACAGAAGTTGGTAAATATATTCAAGTTAAAGTTTTACTTTTTATGGGGCCAAAAAGTCCTTTAGACCTGTAGTACCACAAACAGTGTATTATAAATCAGTAACTTTTTTAAAATTCAATTTTAGTACATGTAAGTGTGTTACCTTGAAAAGTATAAGTGTCTGTCTGGTATATAGAGAATAATACATGCCTTTTTCCATATCACACCCAGTATCAACCTGAGACTGCAATATCAGCCCAAGACACTTACATGTACTAAAATTGAATTTAAAAAAAATAATTGATATGGAAAAAGGCGTGTTTTATTCTGTTTATTACATACTTACTAATAAAAACTACCATCTTATGATTTATTTTTATTTTTGAAATATTGAAAAATGATTTTTTCCCCCAAAAGGGGTGTGATATGGGTTTTGCGGGCTGATACAGGTTTTGGGGTGTGATAAGGTGGGGGCTGATACAGGTTTTGGGGTGTGATACGGCGAGGGCTGATATGGGTTAGAGCAATTGTGTCGTATAGCATATACAAAAAACCCGTATTTATTAGTAAGTATGTAATAAAAATATCTACAAACTCAGTAAGTTTGGAGGTGATATAAAGTAGATACAAAAATGTTGACAGACAATACTGAATAGCAAGGACAAATAAAAAATTTAGGGGTACATTGGCCAACAATTCAGAACAACATTTTCAATCAGTTTACAAGCTTACAGCTTTACCCGTAGTAAATAAGAAAACAACAAATGATAAGAATTTGAATAAAATTTTATTTCATGATAGAAAGTGTAGAAAAATATATTAAGATACAACAGTGAAGAGCTTTATAGATTAGAGAGAACTGTTACAGGAGAGATCTACTTCTACTCAAAATGTTTCAGATCCACACATCAAAATGTGCCCATACTTTAAATTCATTTCTTAATAGCAACAAAACAATAACAAGCAGTATGTGTCTCCTGTGTATTTGAAGTATCAGGTTATTGCACATTGTTGTTCAGATGTATTTGCGACTTCTTAATAAGAACTGACCTTCCAGCGTGTTCAATAAGTCATACGCATTCTTTTTTAAGGTGTATATCCTATTGTTCTACCAGAACTTCCACAGATACTATGAAGCTTTCATTCTGAACAGTACTCAGTATTTGATAGACTTCTGAGGCTGGCTTTGGGCCATAGTTTGTTTTGATTCCTAAGTCGGAGTAGAACAGTGGACACTATTTCTATTCTCCATCCTGGTCCCCAGACTGTACACTCCTAAGTGTTCTTTGGCTGGAAAAAAAACAAAAAAATAGAATTATGTCAGTGTGACATTAAAGCCTCTCACTACTTTTAAATTTAATTGCTTCAGTAACACGTTCAACATCAATATCTACTATGATACCTCAGATATGTGTTCTGTATTTTTCTAATTGAAAATCAGGTCATGTGATGATGTTGCCTTTGGAATTTCCAAAATCAATCACCTCTTAAATGATAACATTTCTCCCTCTCCTCTTTTTTCACCCTCTTTTGTGACGCATGGTTGTAATTTTCATTAATTAGCATCCTCCAATGATGTGACATGAGCATTTATGTGCAGAATGGCAATCGGTGAATGGGTTATAAAGATAGGTGCATTGTGTGCTTGTGAAATGAAGGATAATTAGCAGTACATGTAGTGGGAAACATGCATGGAGAAACGAGACATTGTACTCCTTTTATTTTTATTTATTTTTTATTCATATTAATAACAATTATTAATATATGTAGTGTCTTTATTTACTGTCATTGAATATACAATTCATCACAAAATCTCACAAATATTCTTGGAATATATTTGAATTATATTTCTTAATGCGACTTAACCAACGTAAGAGTTATTTCCCCAACACTGGATTGGAAAATATTTTGACACAGCGCGAATTCTTGTCAAACAGCAGCGGCAGTTGTGTCATGTTCTTAAATTGTTACCTTTTCATAAATAAATACACCAGAAATAGCATGCTGTGTTTCAGAAATGTTTGATAAGCATACACAGTTCACATATCGTCTCGGAGCCACGTGGTAGAAACGATTGTTTATTACCGCTATCAACCTAAGCACGATATGTCATATTACGTTCCCGTTTGAAACATCAAAATAAAGGTTATACTTCATCACTCATACGGTTTATGTACTTACAAAATATTAAAATCTAGACCGTACAGGTGCTTTCTCGAATCAAGGTCACGAAAAACACTTGAATCCTTACGAGTGTGAAACAAACACTCCTCAGACCTCAATCCGAGTTGCTAAAACGCTCAAACCCAGTGCACGAATGAAACATTCCTATTTGTATTCAGTTTTCACCACCACAACACTCGTAGAATGCATCGGAGATAAACATTTTGTTTTCAGCAATTATTTAAAGTATGAATTTTTATTTGGAGAAGAGTATCAGAAGACTTTATGTAACCCACAGGTGAGTGTCAGAGATTCTACTTTCTATTTACGATAACGATACTTTATAGCGGAAGCATGCAAGACTGAATTATGGGCACGCACACCGAACGGAAGTGGGTCTGTCATTTTGTTCTCTGAACAGGATCGATAAGCTGCTCGGCTCTTGCCAAGAGCGGCTTAAATAGCACTTTAAGGTAATGGTAATCAATGTTTATTTCCCAAATATGAATGCCTAATGCCCAACACATCAGCAAATATCAAACCAAAATGGCATAAACTTCAATAGTACATGTCAAAGCCTACATTGTACCTCTACTTTGTTTGTTTTTTTAACTTAGAATGAGGGCAAGCAGTCTTTCTATCAAAAGTCACCCTTAGAAAAACATTTACATATGCAATGGCAGCTATGAAAATTTGACACTTACAATGCTTGAAATCACATGTTTAGACATGCTTCAGATGCTAATTTGTGAACATCTATTATTTACAAGACAGTCGAATATATTCAACACTTGAATTGCAATTTATAAAATTTGAGGATATGGTCACTTGATTTAATCTGTCTCCTGAAACATGATCTATTTTAATAATAAATCAAACACTTCTCTTTTACAATATTATCAGAGATGACAAACAGTGAAGACCAGAAATTGCCCGAGTATCAAAGAACCTACCTTCTACGTCTTGTACGAGTCCCAGGGCCTGCATCCTCTGAGCTCACACTGGCAGTGATAACCTCACTGAGGTTTTTGCGCATTGGGTCTTTGCCATTGGCCTTAGCCTTGCCACTTCGTGTACTTGTACGGACTGGAGCAGGTGATGAAACCTTCTTGTTTTCAGCATCACTGACACCCTTTGTAGCTGTCCTAGTGCTGGCACGGGTTGGTGTAGGGGAGGCAAACACATGGTTTTCTAAATCACTGTAAGAAAAAGTTGGTGATGACAAATAGAAGAGTTAAAACATTGATTTTACAACAGTTTCTTGAAACCAATAGCTTAATTCTAGCTTCCATGCTATGCTCTTTTAGTTGACATCATATCTGAAGCCATTTTAGCACCTCTCTATCAAACCTTATTTTTCATCTCAGAGCTCTTTTGTTTCATAATAGTATTTAAAAGATTGAAAGTTGAAAACTTCATAAAACATTCATTGAGTAACTTAAAGAATAAAACAAGTATCGTAGGAATATACACCTGACCTGTCCCACACCAATCCTTCTAATCCACTATTGTATATAAATGTATAAAAATATGGAAATGTAAGGAGAGGAAACATTATTCGTTGCTCAGTACTCAGTAACGTTGAGCAATTCCTTGAATGTAGTGAAAGGCGAAAGCATACTGTACTTGACCAACAATAAATTATGCACAAATTTTACTCACCGGCTTTAAGCTTAGCCTTTCTTATTGTATAATATAAATATTGACCAAGTTTCATCAGAATCTGATAATACTGTGCAAAAACCGTCAACCAATAAGAGCCCAGTATGCTCCACTTCGAACTTAGTCTCAGTTTTTGTATAATGGACATACCTGCCAAGTTTCATCAAAATCAAACAATATTTAAGAAAGTTAACTGGCAGAAACACTCAAGTTTGGAAATTGACTAATCATAGCACAGTAAGATGTTCGTCTTACCATGCTTCATAACATTGTAAACCAGAAAGTAAAATCAGACAGATTAATCCCTACAGTTAGAAAATCCCGAACAAACCACCAGTTTTCGTATCAAATTCCCCACTCAAAAACCCAGACCAGAAAGGCATCATTCTTCCCTCGAACTATACCTGAGTGGAATAAACTCCCACCTGACATTATTTTGTGCCCCACAACGGAATTATTCAAATCAGCCCTCTACCGTCACTTTTCAAACGCAAATTAGACCATCTCGTATCTTTTAAAAACAATCTCTTTCCATGTTTCACTCCTCGTCTGACATTTTATCTTCAAATTGTTGAAGTTGGTCAGTACCATTTAGAAGTAGAAGTAGAAGTATGCTTATTAATTAGGGCGGTGTGGACAGACAGACATACAGACAGACAGCAGTTATTATATAGTAAAATACACCCTCCTCACTTAGTGGGGTATAAAAAGGATCATACATACATACAGACAGACAGCAGTTATTATATAGTAAAATACACCCTCCTCACTTAGTGGGGTATAAAAAGGATCATACATACATACAGACAGACAGCAGTTATTATATAGTAAAATACACCCTCCTCACTTAGTGGGGTATAAAAAGGATCATACATACATACAGACAGACAGCAGTTATTATATAGTAAAATACACCCTCCTCACTTAGTGGGGTATAAAAAGGATCATACATACATACAGACAGACAGCAGTTATTATATAGTAAAATACACCCTCCTCACTTAGTGGGGTATAAAAAGGATCATACATACATACAGACAGACAGCAGTTATTATATAGTAAAATACACCCTCCTCACTTAGTGGGGTATAAAAAGGATCATACATACATACAGACAGACAGCAGTTATTATATAGTAAAATACACCCTCCTCACTTAGTGGGGTATAAAAAGGATCATACATACATACAGACAGACAGCAGTTATTATATAGTAAAATACACCCTCCTCACTTAGTGGGGTATAAAAAGGATCATACATACATACAGACAGACAGCAGTTATTATATAGTAAAATACACCCTCCTCACTTAGTGGGGTATAAAAAGGATCATACATACATACAGACAGACAGCAGTTATTATATAGTAAAATACACCCTCCTCACTTAGTGGGGTATAAAAAGGATCATACATACATACAGACAGACAGCAGTTATTATATAGTAAAATACACCCTCCTCACTTAGTGGGGTATAAAAAGGATCATACATACATACAGACAGACAGCAGTTATTATATAGTAAAATACACCCTCCTCACTTAGTGGGGTATAAAAAGGATCATACATACATACAGACAGACAGCAGTTATTATATAGTAAAATACACCCTCCTCACTTAGTGGGGTATAAAAAGGATCATACATACATACAGACAGACAGCAGTTATTATATAGTAAAATACACCCTCCTCACTTAGTGGGGTATAAAAAGGATCATACATACATACAGACAGACAGCAGTTATTATATAGTAAAATACACCCTCCTCACTTAGTGGGGTATAAAAAGGATCATACATACATACAGACAGACAGCAGTTATTATATAGTAAAATACACCCTCCTCACTTAGTGGGGTATAAAAAGGATCATACATACATACAGACAGACAGCAGTTATTATATAGTAAAATACACCCTCCTCACTTAGTGGGGTATAAAAAGGATCATACATACATACAGACAGACAGCAGTTATTATATAGTAAAATACACCCTCCTCACTTAGTGGGGTATAAAAAGGATCATACATACATACAGACAGACAGCAGTTATTATATAGTAAAATACACCCTCCTCACTTAGTGGGGTATAAAAAGGATCATACATACATACAGACAGACAGCAGTTATTATATAGTAAAATACACCCTCCTCACTTAGTGGGGTATAAAAAGGATCATACATACATACAGACAGACAGCAGTTATTATATAGTAAAATACACCCTCCTCACTTAGTGGGGTATAAAAAGGATCATACATACATACAGACAGACAGCAGTTATTATATAGTAAAATACACCCTCCTCACTTAGTGGGGTATAAAAAGGATCATACATACATACAGACAGACAGCAGTTATTATATAGTAAAATACACCCTCCTCACTTAGTGGGGTATAAAAAGGATCATACATACATACAGACAGACAGCAGTTATTATATAGTAAAATACACCCTCCTCACTTAGTGGGGTATAAAAAGGATCATACATACATACAGACAGACAGCAGTTATTATATAGTAAAATACACCCTCCTCACTTAGTGGGGTATAAAAAGGATCATACATACATACAGACAGACAGCAGTTATTATATAGTAAAATACACCCTCCTCACTTAGTGGGGTATAAAAAGGATCATACATACATACAGACAGACAGCAGTTATTATATAGTAAAATACACCCTCCTCACTTAGTGGGGTATAAAAAGGATCATACATACATACAGACAGACAGCAGTTATTATATAGTAAAATACACCCTCCTCACTTAGTGGGGTATAAAAAGGATCATACATACATACAGACAGACAGCAGTTATTATATAGTAAAATACACCCTCCTCACTTAGTGGGGTATAAAAAGGATCATACATACATACAGACAGACAGCAGTTATTATATAGTAAAATACACCCTCCTCACTTAGTGGGGTATAAAAAGGATCATACATACATACAGACAGACAGCAGTTATTATATAGTAAAATACACCCTCCTCACTTAGTGGGGTATAAAAAGGATCATACATACATACAGACAGACAGCAGTTATTATATAGTAAAATACACCCTCCTCACTTAGTGGGGTATAAAAAGGATCATACATACATACAGACAGACAGCAGTTATTATATAGTAAAATACACCCTCCTCACTTAGTGGGGTATAAAAAGGATCATACATACATACAGACAGACAGCAGTTATTATATAGTAAAATACACCCTCCTCACTTAGTGGGGTATAAAAAGGATCATACATACATACAGACAGACAGCAGTTATTATATAGTAAAATACACCCTCCTCACTTAGTGGGGTATAAAAAGGATCATACATACATACAGACAGACAGCAGTTATTATATAGTAAAATACACCCTCCTCACTTAGTGGGGTATAAAAAGGATCATACATACATACAGACAGACAGCAGTTATTATATAGTAAAATACACCCTCCTCACTTAGTGGGGTATAAAAAGGATCATACATACATACAGACAGACAGCAGTTATTATATAGTAAAATACACCCTCCTCACTTAGTGGGGTATAAAAAGGATCATACATACATACAGACAGACAGCAGTTATTATATAGTAAAATACACCCTCCTCACTTAGTGGGGTATAAAAAGGATCATACATACATACAGACAGACAGCAGTTATTATATAGTAAAATACACCCTCCTCACTTAGTGGGGTATAAAAAGGATCATACATACATACAGACAGACAGCAGTTATTATATAGTAAAATACACCCTCCTCACTTAGTGGGGTATAAAAAGGATCATACATACATACAGACAGACAGCAGTTATTATATAGTAAAATATACCCTCCTCACTTAGTGGGGTATAAAAAGGATCCAATCACAACAGAAGTGTCAGTTCAAATATCATTATCATATCAGGTTCATTTTGATATGAGGAAGCCAAACTAAAGTACCTGTCATCTGCAGCAGCTAAGATGGCCTGTTGAGCTTTTGACTTCCTGCCTGTAGACTTGGCTGTTTTCTTTTTACTGGGAGGACCAGTTGGTGTCTTGGAGAGAGAAGCATCTGAACGGGCTACAAGGTAAAATATACTGGATACAAGTACTGGTTTGCTCATATTCTAAGATTAACCGCCAAAACATTTGTATGAAAAGTTCTAAATAGGGTTTAATGTACACATTTTGTAATCATAGTATCTTTTTAAAGTGCTGCTACCATGAAACAGTAATACAATAACTGAAATACCGTGTTTATAGTATACACATACAAAATGTAATCTATCTGGTGTACTTCCATTATAGTTACTGTTGTTAAAAAATTATTAAGTGTTGCTTTTGGACTAGGGTCACAACTTGTACTCTATTACTTAGCTTACTGATCAAATTTTGCAATATTTTATACTAGATAAAAATCTTAAGATATTTACCTATGTGTACATATTAACCTTCAACTTGTACGTAATACACTTCAATGATGTGTCGGTAAGCAACCCAACCACACGTAACATAAGTGTACAACAAATGGACTGAGAAAACTGTATCTCCTGGACTATAAAGACAGATTAACGTCTGGTACATCCAATAACACTTATCTAAAACAAGGGCATGTCAAGTTTTGTTCTCTTTACCGTGCTGATTATTCTTGAATTTCAATTAAATACAAGATTTATCAAATTTGTAGTTGAATACTTTAAAAGGAAAAAATCTGAACAGCTAATGCACAACACCAGATAAGGACAGAAAGCTCTGGTAGCTGAAAAATTGAATTACAGTCGAACCTCGTTATCTCGAAGTCGACAAGGTCGTAGGAAAACTTGGGAGTTATCCGAGTGTTCGAGTTAAGAGGGTTCATATATTTGGTATGAAATGTACTGTTTGGAAATAGCACTAGCAGTCGTTGATTTGTACTAATAGTCAATGATAATAATCAATTGATGGATGATATACGTAATCAATAGGACAAATACATGTATGTTATTTTATAATAAACACGCTTACAAAAAATAGAACATTTTTTCCCCCAAAAAAATTTCGTTTCACGCGATGAAAACAGTTTGACCATATTGCGAATTCATTATGAAATATGGACGGGCCTAGTGATTAAATGTTGATTTGGCTAGTCTTGGCAAAGTCTTTCTAGGTCTTAATTTGTATTTGCAAGTCCGTCAAGTTTTACCTCTGAAGTGTTACATTTTACGCCCGTCGAATGCCATATAGTGTTATATACTTTCTTACATTGAAATAAGATCTGCATCATTCTAAGAGTGGTTAGCTGATATGCTATAAAAATGTAGGAGAAAATCAAATACTGAAATGAACAAAAGGCAATAAATTTCGCAAAATCATCGAATCAAAATTCTTTTAAGGGAGACACAACTTCATATCATGATTATAAAGTATACCAAGTTTCAAAGAGATCCGTAAAACAAGAGGCCCATGGGCCTTAACGGTCACCTGAGTCCTACAATATTTATTTTTGTTGTTGAAATATGTACCAATTTGAGTAAACAATAGTATAATGTTAACTTAACATTGTCAGGACCATGAGCTGATCATTCCTAGACCAATTTTAAGTGAGATCGGCCTATTAGAACTTAGTAGTAAAATAGCGGCCATGGCAGCCAAATTGTATTTCTGATTGACCCGAAAAATAACAACACTTTGTCAGGACCATCAGTCAATCATTCCTGCAAAGTTTCAGTTCAATCGGCCTAGCAGAACTTGACTTTAAGTTTGAAATAGTTTTTCAAAATGGCGGCCGTGGCGGCCATATTGGATTTCTGA